TTTAGGGTTAGGTTTAGGGTTAGGTTTAGGGTGCTGAGTGCTTCGGAAGGCGCTGATTTGCCCTCCGCGGTTATGTCAGCGCAGATAAGGGCTTTGCGGTTTTGTGGTGGAACCAATGCAGGAGTTGTTAAATGTGCACGGGGTGCCTCAGGGATGCCTGTCTTGGGCCTCCTAGGGCCTCCCCAACCCCGAGAGAAGGGCGATGCAGAGGGAGCTGCTTTGCCTTGTTTGAAACCTGACCTGGAAGGCAGAACTGCTCTTTCCCCTCCCTCTGCATTTCCCTTTTAACACTTCCTTGTCTGTTCTCCATGTCTCTTCACCAGTTTCTTTTTCTCTCCCTTCCTTTGAAAACTTTTTTTTACCAGGAAATATAGCAACTTCAAAGCACAACCTGTGGCTCATTAATCTTGTTTTGAGTTAAAGAAGCCATACAGAAAGGCAGAAGGCTGTGGAAATGCTGCTTTGAGCAGGTCAGTTTGCAAATGGCTGCTCCACATGGCCCAGTAAGAATGGCACGCAGTACTGAGTTCTGCAGATCTCCAGAAGGTAAGCAAGGATTGTGAGGGGTGGAATGGGGATGGGGGGTGGAGGAGCAGGCCCAGTGCCTTTGGTGATCTGTCAGGGCAAGGATGGTGAGGGGAAGAGATAGGTGGGCGTGTTTCAGCATCTCTGCAACATTATGAAGTTGCCCAGTCATTTGTAAGTGCGAATGACCGGATAACTTTTGTAAAATTCTTATTTTCGAATCACAGTCGTACATGGCTTTTGGGAGATCTGTTGTAAAAGTTACACATAATCTGAGAAGCGATAAAATGCTTCTAAGCTGATAAATAAGATTGCTTGAAGAACTTAAGAAGTAACTATTTTTTTCTGATTTTTGATTTTTTTAAAAATGAAATCAAATTATTAGGAATGTTGACTGCAAAACAGCAGATGGTTTCTGAGACCACCTTTATTTATAACAATTTAAATATTCTCTGGAGAGAATTTCATGTATTCTTCTGAAATATATGCCTAATTTTAGCTTTGCATTCTTATTTTAAAGGAGTACAGAATAATATGAATAACATTTGTTCTCTCAATGAATCTAATTAAAATATGACATTTGCAAGACACATGAAAGTCTTATGTACAGCCAGCCTCACATTTATCCTACATATTCAAGGCTCTCACAAAAACAGAAATAATATGTAAAAGGGAAAGGGAATGTTAATAAACCTCAAACCTCAAACCTAAAAACAATGTATATATATATACATACAAACATACTGGGATTGACATACTGATGTATATATTGGCTAGAATCTTAACACTATATTAAAGAAAATGGGAAAATATCTTCACCTGGTTATTCAAAGTGAAAGCTGTGTTCATTCTATACGACTTTCTCCTCTGGAAACGCAGAAGTGGTCTAGTGCGAGCAGATGTACTCATCAGAGCAACAGTAGGTGTTTTCAGCTTCATCTTTTCTTTCCTCCTTCTCTTCAGATGTTGTTGATCAGCCAGGCAACTACTAGAAGATGAAATTTCTTCTTTGTTCTCTGATTCTCTGAAATATACCTAACTATTATCCCGGGTTGTCACGAATATTAAAAAAAAAACCTCACACTACATAATATTAACTTACAGTTAATATTAATCTAAGTATATTAACTTAAAAGATATAGTTACATCAGAATTAAGTAACTGATTTTATGAACTACAGCAGCTGTGTTACCAGATATATTAAAGTAATATAAAGAAGGGAGTGGTCTTGTTTTCTTTTGTCCTGAAGACAGGAAAAGAAAAAATGCATTGAAACAACAAGTAAGTAGATTCAGGTTGGGAATTAGAACAGAAAGTCTTTAAACTGTTGAATAACCATAGATTCAAAATATTTTAGCAGATGCATTGAGCAGTTGTTGGACTACATGAGATAAATTCCCATTCTAAGGATCCATAACAGTTGTTCTTTGGTTCATACATTCTTTCTCTTATTTAGTTTAATTAATGTATGCATAAATAATATTTTATTCAGATATATGTGTTACATTCCAGCATGAATTGTAAATAATGAGATTTTGAATCTTTAAGTGCTAAACAATTAGATTCCAGTGTCTCTAGTTTTCTTCACTCATGAACAATTCATCCATCTTCTACTCACTGTGGGTATCTCCACAATGTTCTTGCATTTGGTGCTAATTTCCCTTGCCGAGCTCAAAGTGGCTTCCCACTCCCCACAGTTCTTGGTACCAAAATGGTCCCTCTTCTTAAGTTGTAAAAAAGCCACCAGAGTAAAGAAGCAGCTGACTCAAAAAAGGGATCAAGTACTCAAATGATCAGAAAGAAAATCAAAGAGTAAGAGGATTTGGATTCCCCCCCCCCCCCCCCCCTCTGTATAGGGATCATTCTTGAAACTAGCCACTGAGATTCTTTGGTATCTAATTGACTTCAGTAAATATTATTTATTTGAAGTTTTGGGATTTCTTCTAAGTTTTCCTGAAGTTTCCTAAACCTCTGCTTAGGGAATAAAGCCTGACATGTATAAAGTAATGACAAACAAGACTCTAACCACAGATTGCTTAAAAATATTGAGGCCTGTTCTCTAATTATCAATCACAGGACCACATATAATGAGGGCCACCTGTAATCTATACTAAGTGTAGGCAATGCAGTGCTTGTGGGCACCAATATGCCCAGACAAGTCTTTTGCAGGTGATAAGATTCCTGTACCACATGCCTCTTTTATTTATTAAAAATAAACGTACAAGTTGTCATTGTGTAAATTTAAAGTGCCAGATTCTAGCATCATCGTTATTTACGGTAATCCCCAGACTTTGGTTTGTTATACTGCTCATTTTTGAAATGTGCCCATTACACAGAGGACTATGCTACTCAAAAATTATTCAATGACTGCATATCTCCATGCCCTGAATTATTGGATAACTAACTGAAATATTTTTAAAAAATATTTCCCACCTTTATTATTTTTATAAATAACTCATGTCAACAAGCACACTAATACTCCTTCCACTCCTACTGTTTCCCCCATAACAAAACTCCTGTGAAGTAGGCGGAGATAGAATAACTGGCCTATAATCACCCATTTGGCTTTCATTTATTAACATATTCTATTATTTTCTATTATTTCTATTATTTTCTATTATTATTTTTCTATTATTTGAGTTCCTTGGACACAGCAAATTGTGAGAGTTAAAAGTGAATCTTTCAATATCATTTTTGGGAGGAGGGGAGTTCTCTGATGATGTTTAGTCAAGGTAACACTGTCATTTTATATACTGTATGCTAACCTTACCCTGATGTTATCCTGTTAGTTTTCGAAATGCTACCTACCTTAAAGAGATGCCATTAACCAATTCATTCTGTTTACAGGTTTTTGAAGAAAGTGAAGATGACGTTGGAGACAGATTAAGGGGAGCAATCAGACTGCTTATTATTTCACTCAGCTGAGCACTCTGAATGATACCAGGAGAAAAAATATGTTCAATTTAATATATTATAAGTACTTAAATAAAAAAAAATCAGTTGTGTCCATATTATACCTAAACTCCATGCTTCAGAACTGAACCTTACCAATATCAAGTGAAGAGTTAATTTGAATTTTTGAAATGCCTTGCAAAATAATAAAGACGATAACAAATTCACATCCTAAAGACATTTATGAAAATTTAGAAGAAAAACCAAAACAAATGACAACTGTGGTGTCCATGTTCCTTACTGAGAAATAATCCCTAAAATCTTGAGGTAATTCCATTATGGCTGCTAACATATCACTTATTAAGGTTATTTTCTGATACAAACATATTTGAACAGTTGCTAATCTTAAATTGAATACTACCTATAAAGCATAAGGAAAAACTAAGAATTGTAATTCTCTTTGTCCATAAATGTGAAATATTTCTGCTGATAAGTATTTTACCAATAAAAGACCTTCAACATGGTATAAGCAGAAATTATATTTCATCCTTACAGAAAGTTAATCGAGAGATAAAGAGACATATACAATTCAAATCTAGAATCTTCCTTAAACTCCCCTCCTACTGAGTAAACCTAATACACTGCCTGCTATACAGGTAGTCCTCAACTTATGACATTAATGGAGTCTGCCCATTCATGCTGGAAGTCGAGGACTGTTAAATGAGGCTAACGACTTCCCTGTCCCTTTGTTAATTTGTTAAAGGAATGCACGGGCTGTTAGGTACAGCCTGGAGTGACTCAGAGATGGGGGAAACTGAGGAAGGCCTAGTGCAGGCACAGGCACTCCCAGGAGGCCTTCCCCTCCCTGAGATATCCCATGCTCTGCCCCCTGGGTTTTCCAAAGCCCTATGGGCCTCCTCCATACCCCACCCTATCACCATTCACTGACTTATGTTTTTTTTTAATTTTTGTTTATTTACAAACATACAAAAATACACATACACAAAACTTAGACGTATACTACATTTACACAATCAGTACAAACAGGAACTTCCTGTTCTTTCTAATAACGATTTCAAATTGATACAATTCTCCTTATGTTATTTCCCCTTCTAATATATTTCATTTGCATTTCATCATTTTTTAACCCTCTTATTTTACTCTTCTATCTGCTATATTGAGTGATTATTCTAATAAATTTAAACTCTCTTGAGTGCATATATATACGTTAATTCTCCTTAACTTCTATTTTTGAGTTTTATTGACTTCTTTCATTCAGTTCAGTTCAGTTCAGTTC